CGATGTGCCTTCTCTCCCTCGATGAAAGCGAAAGAAAACGTGGGGACATGGAATGTCCGAACAATGTTTGAACATAGCAAGACTGCACGGATTACCAAAGAGATGAGAACATATGGCATCGAAGTGCCAGGAATCTGCGAAAGCAGATGGAATGGAAGTGGACTCTCAAAACTCTTAACTGGAGAGTCAATAATCTACTCCGATATTGTCACCCAGACAACAACTACGAGCACACTGAGTTTTCAAGTGGCTATCATGATGTCCCCAACAGCACCAAATACTTTCATACAGTGGGAACCAATCTCCTCCTGCAGGATCATGACATCAAGATTCAAATCAAAAGGAAGGAAAATCACAATCATACAATACTACGATATGCATCTACAAATAATACGGATCAAGAAAAGAAGGAGGAATTCTACAAACAACTGCAATCAACACTGAACAAGACGTCAGTTGGCGATATCAAAATTCTAATGGGTGAGGTGACATGAATGCCAAACTGGGAGGGGACAACACAGGGAGAGAACTAACCATGGGTCGAGAAGCGGTAGGTGAAATGAACGAGAATGGAGAATCGTTTGCAGAGTTCTGTGCACTCAGGGATTTGGTGATTGGAGGCAGTGTGTTCAAGCACAAGGATATCCACAAAGCGACATAGATTTCACCAGACACCAGGACACACTAAAATCAAATCGACTTTATCTCAATCTCAAGAAAATGGAGACGCAGTCTACTTGACACAAGGTCAAGAAGAGGAGCAGATGTAGGTTCAGACCACTATCTAGTGTAAGGAACCTTCCAAATCAAGTTGAAAGCCTTCAGTTCAAGGAAGCTGGTGATAGACCACAGTTCAAGTACAACACTCGGAAACTGGAGGATGAAACTACAAAGGAAATCTTCACATCAGTCATCAAGACAAAATGGGAGAAATCGAGGGACACCCCTGAAGAAACCTGTGTGGAAGAACACTGGAAGTCTTTGAAAGAGATGTAGAAAGAAACCTCAGCCGTATTAGGAAGGAAGAAGAAAGAAGATAAGGAATGGATCTCGACTGATACATGGAAGTTGATAGAGGAGGGATATGAAGATGGTGAAGCAGATCAACCAGTGCAAGGATGCTCAACGACAAGAGCAACTGAGCACAATGTATAAAACACTGGAGAAAGAAGTGAAAAAGAGTGCACGGAAAGACAAAAGACACTTCTGCAAAACACTGGCAAGTGAAGCAGAACAGGCTGCACGTAGGAGAGACAGAGTCCTGACAACATTGTATCAAATAACCAGGTTACTTGCTGTCTGGGAAGAGATCAACACAGCATAGACGAAACCAATAAAAGATGATGACGGAAATTTGATTACGAAAGAAGAGAAACGGGGGAAACAATGTGCCGATCACCTGAAGAAGCTCTTGAATCGACTACCGCCACCACCTGGACTTCGTCTAGAAATACCACCTACAGCCACTGAACTACAAGTGAGCATAAATCCCCCAACAAAAGTGGAAGTCCTGAACACCATAAAGCTACTGAAATGCGGGAAAGCAGCAGGACTAGATGGTTCCCGCCAGAAGCACTGAGAACAGACGCAGAGACAACATCGGACATGCTCACACCACTATTGTAGAAGGTGTGGAAGGAGGTGAAGATACCTGGCTAGTGATTGGAAGAAGGATTACCTTGTCAAACTGCCAAAGAAGGGAGACCTCAGTGTTTGCAAGAACTCGTGCGGAATCACTCTCCTGTCCACCCCAAGCAAAATATTAAGCGGCATCATCTTGGAGAGGCTAAAGGATGCACTGGATTCAAAACTACGACCAGAACAGGCAGGCTTCAGGAAGTAAAAATCATGTGCGGACCAAACTGTAACGCTTCGCATCATCATAGAACGGAGCGTAGAATGGCAGTCAACTCTCTACCTCAACTTTATCGACTTTGAGAAGGCCTTTGACAGCGTCGACCGAGAGGTAATTTGGAAACTGCTTCAATACTACGGAATACCACAAACCTTTATCCGCCTCATTCAACAACTATATGAAGACGTCACATGCCAAGTAATTCACAATGGGAAGCTCAGTGATGCTTTTGAAGCGAAAGTGAAGACAGGAGTGAAACAAGGTTGCCTACTATCACCCATGATATTCCTGATAGTGGTCGACTGGATGATGCAGCAAACAGTGGGGAGCGAAAAGAGGGGGGTACGGCGGAAAGGAACCTAGAAGACTTGGATTTTGCCGATGACTTGTGCTTGATGTCACACAAACTTGAAGATCTACAGGCGAAAACTGACAAGTTGACAGAAGAGGCAGCGAAGACGGGACTTCAAGTGAATATAGAGAAGACAGAAGTGATGAAGATACCGCACCAATAACAACAACAAACTCCAATCACCATCAACGGGAGAAACTTAAAGGAAGTAACCTCCTTCACCTAACTAGGAAGCACCGTTTCAACTACAGGCGGCGGCACAGACGAGGATGTCAAAGTCAGAATCGGAAAGACAGCAAGACAGGTGTTCATTAGCCTGAAACCAGTGTGGAGATCTTCTGCACTCCACTCAGCATGTGGAACAACATCCGGATTTTCAACACCAACGTCAAATCAATGCTTCTGTATGGTTGAGAGACTTTGCGCGTTACGAAAGGGATTTCCAATAAACTACAGACATTCATCAACAACTGCCTACAATGGCTCGTTACTGAAGATCAGATGGCCAGAATAGTTAGAATAAGCAACAAGGAGCTCTGGGAACGAACCAACCAAGAACCTATCACCCACCAAATATGCAGTGGAAGGAAGTGGAGATGGATTGGGCATACACTGAGAAGGCCGACTGGGGACATCACGTGCCAGGCCGTTCCCTCTAGTGGAACCCAGATGGGGAGCGACGAGTTGGACGTCCGAGGTGAGGGTGACATGGAGGAGATCGTGTGAGGAGGAAATGAGAGGTTGTGGGCTGTCGTGGAGCCAGGTTCAAAAGATTGTAGAGAACAGAGTTCACTGGAGACGTGCTACTGAAGCCCTATGTTCCATTAGGCACCCAAGGGACTAATAATAATAATAATAAAATAAGGCTAGCAGTTCTGTAGTCAGTGAATACCTGTCCATTGCCTCCCTTAAACACAGGACTTAGTATAGGATCCCTAAAATCCCTAGGAAACCATGCCTGAGATAAGTGTATTTTAAATAGAACGGCTCATCAATACCAGCCAAAAGTAACAGCATCCTAGGGTTCACTTAACTGGAGCTGGCATTGCTGCGTAACGGTCCATGTCTCCACATCTTATATTAGTATATCAAGGCATAAGGTGCCAATATGAAATAAGGAAGTAGTCTAAGTGGTATAAAGTTGTAGAGAGAGAACAAGGAGGGATAAACGGGTGATGAAATTTATAATCAGAACTACTGGTGAGAATGCACATACATATGACAATGATTACCTGGTAAGGATTAGTACGAAGATTAAGCAATAGTGAACAGAAATGGGAACGGGATTGTTTGCGAATGGGAACCATATTGTAAGGTTTAGTGTTATTTCCATTGTCAGTTGCATTTTCTTTACACAGAGTATCTGCTATTCCATTAGACTCGTATTCACAGGGCAAGCTTGATTACTGTTTTTTTCGTTCAGGCTAAGACAAGGTATTGCATGGAGTCTTTGGCTGTTCATCTGAACCGTGTAGGGAATGTGGACTTACTGGTTTGGGTCCACGTGTCAACAGCAACAAGTTACTGGGGTCTATAGGTGATATCTCTGAGTCGACCTCAGTGGCGCATATTTATCCACACACTATCCTCATCGTAATCGTCGTATTGAACGTAGTATTCTCTCATTCATCTTTTCTCTCTTTTAATGACTTTCTACCACTTTTGACCGATTTTGTTTTTGTCTGTATGTTTCATCTTAGCGTTTTGTTGCTCGATGTGGTGAAATGAGATGTGGCAGCTTGGACTGTTTCGCCGTAATGCCTAGTCATATGTTGATGATGGTTATCTGCCAGCTAGCTAAAGCTGGAGAACAGAAAACTTGAGTGATCCACATAGGTATCAGACCTAGACATGGGTGCATCGATCAGATCTTCACCTTGCTCTAGGTTTAGGAACACACGCATACTAATCAGGGCCCTACACTTTACCATATTTCCTGACCTGACGATGGCATTCGACTGTTTTGACTGAGAGGTATTGTGGCATTGTCTGACTGTGAAAGGAGTACCTACCATATATGTAACGCCGAATAATTTTCTTTACTTGAACTTAGTTATGTTAGAGCTTGTTTGGAGCAGTCATATGTATTGATGCCACCTAATAGTGTTTTCCGTGAATTCCCCCTGTCACCATTCCTGTTTAACTCTGCTATAGATGTGGCAATGCATGTAAATCCAGGTGCCTCCGACTTCGTAAATATTGACCTACTTACTCTCTGAAGGATACGGTTCGTCTTGGAGCAGACAGACCACATTGTTCTGACTGGCGATGCTGGCAAAATGAAGATTTCCAAACACTTTGAGCAGAAATCTGAGTATGTGAGACGACTGGCATACGTTTTACACCTGTCAGGTGTAACATCAGGCTTCAAATCAGTCTGAAGTGATTCCTGGTATACGGATAAACAGACATACAGTATCCATTTATCTTCTGGCACTAATGCGTAGTGGTTCAAGTTGCTACACCTCGTATCAGTACACTAAAGGAAACTGTACGAAGATGAAATGAGAAGAAATCAGCCTTAAAATGGTAAAAATAGAGCATGCAGGAATAGAAAAGTATTGACTATAAATTTATTAATATGCCGATTTTTAAAAATTCTAAATGTTGGTGTGATCACAGGAAGCAGTTTTGCTCAAGATATTAGCAAAATAAAAAGTTTAGTGTTGTGTTTAAACTTGCGATAAAAAGTCTTTCATAGTAAATTGATGTCTATTCTTACGTCTGGTTAACGATATGTAATATTTTCAGTTTTCAGATTTCTCTCTTTAGAATACAGTCTACTAAATGTTGATGCAAAGATTTTTATTCAATACTATTAGACTATACAACACTGCTTGTGCAGATGTAAAAGTGTCGACAATTTCACGACATCGTGACTGTTTACAAATGTGGAATAAGCTCAAGGAATATCAGTTGAACCTCTGCATGTCCCCACGTGTCGAAAAAGTTACAGTTACATATGATGGTCTTTTGGGGAAATCAACTTTGGAAATGACGAAAGGTATATCAACACCTTTGGATTGTGCAAAGCATTTGTCTGAAATGCTGGTTAAAGAAAGCGTTATTGCTTTGGTTAACAATAAACCTTGGGATATGAATCGTCCTCTGACATCCGACTGTTCACTGGATTTTGTTCATTTCAAGGTTCGTTTTAGTCTGTGTTATTTGTGATGAATATTATTAATCTGTGACTGCACGTTGGGGCTCATTGGTGTGAACAATTGACTTTTAACAAGTTACGAGTTCGAGACCCTCCTAACCTGACAAGGTTCTAGCAGCCACGTAGTAATGCTAATGAAATAGGTGTAGTTCACAGTGTCGTGTACAAACATGCCTGAGGTTTCTGAGATATGCTGTATGCGGTAACTTCAGTGTATTGACTCTGCCACTAAGATATCTTTAGTACTCCACAATGGTCAGCTTTTCAAAGTCGCTGCCTGCTTTCTTATTTTATTTGAAAACCGTTTAAGTCTGTACGCATAAATCAGATTCTGTTATAAAAACTTCTAGTTCCAGTTTACCATCACCACTGTCTCTACAAATCATTGAGGCGTGGCCCAGAATTAGATTCAGTTAAGCAGATGCATACGCAAATTTTCTTTATCCTTCTCGTCGGATCTCATCTTGTTGTTGTTTAGCTCCTCCTTCCTCTGTTTTACCCGACCGATAGTTGGTACCTTGATGGGGGTTCAGGCTTCCATATCAAAATAACCCAGCGAGGTACACTAACTGGAATGCCAGGAAGGTCACTTAGATGGTGACCAGTATAAAAGCAGTTACGGTTGATTATGGTGGAGATCCAAGGGCGAAGCCGTACTGTTGGTTAGATGAGGTGTAACAGTAGTTAAGCGTTTCCGCTGGGAAACCAGCACTGCCACGCTGATGCTGCCTTCCATTTTCGGAGGGGAAAGTCAGAGAGGTTGGATCCCCAAAACCACACCCCTCCCTGTCCCAGAAACAGTGGTCAAGACAGTTCGTAACCTACATCCAGAGACTAGAAAACGTCACTGAGTTTCCGAAAAATCATCGGAACGGATTGATACGAAAAGACTGATTCCAGCTGACTTTGACCACCATGAAGAGCGGAAGCAGTTTAAACGTAAGTTGACTGACAGTCTTCGCAATGACAGCGAACAGTGATTGGTGGCGAGAACTAAAGAGATGGAGAAGGCATCAGAGTTGGGTAACACCCAGCTAACTATTTAGGCAAGAAGAAGGCGATGATGAGTGGAACCGTCACGGATGAAACGCTAATAACCTCTCAGAGCAGACAGCTAGAACACTCTCAAGCACAATCCCACTAACCCCCGGCAACGCTTCAGTTTCCCAACATTCAGCCTGAACCTGAATGGGACGTAGATGTCGGTCCTCCAACCTTCCTCGAAGTTAAGAAGACTTTCGAAAATACGCTGATCAAATTGCAAATGGTTTACAAATTGGAGAAATGAACTAATTCGCGTCTTTGAGCTGAATTTGTCAGATTACACCAGTGATCAGCTCGCCCCATATGCGCGAAACCACCATCTATTGTTTAGATCACTCTGATCTGGCTGGCGAAATCTACAGATCATCTC